GAAGCGCGAACTTTACCGTGTGAGGGAAGTAAAATAGCTGCGGCCGATGTATTCTTGGGGGCTTTGACAAATAAAACGTACCTGAGCTTTTCGAATGCTCTCAGTGCCGTGGGGACGTCTCCCTTTCCGGCTTCTTCGAGACATGCAGCAATGGTGGCGCCATCTTCAACGCCCTGCGCCCCGCCTGTCGCAGATGTCGCCAGGTGTGGATGCGCGGCATCGCCGACAATGCACACGCGGCCTTTTGATGACACCCACGGCTTGATTGGATCTCTCCACAAGATCTTATAGTCGATGAGGTTCTCCTCGAGCAGTTCCTTGACCGTCTCGACCAAACGCTCGTCACAACCCTCGACAACTTTCAGCATGTCTGATTTCCGCCCCGGCAGCGTCCAGTCCTCCTTGATATCGCGGTCGTCCTAGCCGAAGACACGTTAGTCTGTTGGAAACATGCACATTTCACACGGACTTACTTACTCGGTGGGTGGCAAAGCACGTTCCTCGGTCAAGGACCTTGTTGGTGGTGATGATGGCGTGACAGTCTTCCATGATCCAGACGTGAAACCAGGGATACGGAGCATCCGCGATCTCTTCTGTCACGGGATTCTTGCGGAGGACCTCGAGGGGAAACCAGGCCCGATACAAGGCAAACCCACTGGGCTGCGGCTTGTCCACTTTCCCCGTCACAAAGTATCGGGCTCTGCTGTGGATGCCGTCGGCGCCAACGACCAGATCTGCTTCGTGTCTGACCCCGTCGACGATGATACCGGCACAATCATCATCTTCGAAATATTGCTGGACGTTGCTGTTGTAGACAAACTTCACCCCAATCTGCTTCGCGAATTGAAACATGACGTTTTGGGTGTGTCCTCGATAGCCGTATGCATTCGGCCAGCCGTCAAACTCCTGCTCGGCTTCCTGCTGCAACAGGAGCTTTCCGTGCTTGTCCATGATGGGCATATATGGTGGTTGAGAGGCAACACGCATGAGCTCCTCAAGCAAGCCCTTGCCATACTTGCTGACTATCCTTGTGGCGTTGGGACCGAACAGAATTATGTCACCTGGGGATCAGACACCGTCAGTGGCTGGTCGACGACGACCAGCTTTGGTCCAAGGGACGTTTTCTTTTTAGACCTGGTACCAACCTGCAGTCCTGACAGCGTCGGCGGCCTCAAAGACCGTGACGTCGGCCCCTCGTCTTCCCAAGTCCGAGGCGCATGCTAGACCCGCGAAACCAGCGCCGACAATGATGACTTTGAACCCTTTGAGCGTTTCTGAAAGATTGGGCGTGATATCCGGTTGAACAGACCCCATTTTGGATATGACGGGTGGCGCGTGGTGTGGTAGCTAGCCAGCCAGAAAAAAAAAAAGAGTGTGAAAACAACAATCTTGTTGCTCTCGACGGAACCTCAGTGACCTCTGAGTGTTTAGTTATTCTCCAGCCTGGTAAGACAAGAAAGAAAGGATGTCTAGAATTTCGACGGAATCATAAATGGCCCGAGGGGACCCTGGGTCCTGCGAAAGCTGTTTATGTCAGCTGTCGTTTCCTCGAATCATTATCGGACTCTCGAACGAGGTTGAACCCTGGTTGCAGAAGATGGCCGCTCATGTGATTGTTCTGGCTAGAGGTATTCGCATATCGTGTCGCCGAACTACTGGCCGTCCAGACGAGGCAAGGTTGATTCTGAAGCCGGGGGGTTAAGGGCAAAAATCCCCGCCTTCGCGCCGGGAAATCTAGGCGAGTGCGATCCAAGCATGTAAGTCCCAGCTGGAAATAAGTATATCCCACTTCAGGTTCTATTTGCGACCGCCGAGGGGGAGCAGGTGGTGATGGCGGCCCACCTTGCGCCCGGAGTGGACAGGAACTATATGGCAACCAGCCATCACAGCTCTGAAGGCTATCTAGATGCTGTGGTCGCTGAAGCTGAGGGTAGCATGGACAGACACAGGCTCCTGAATGCGGCTATGATCTTGGTTGGACCACCAAACAGCGTGGCTATCTATTCCAGTGGTCGAGCAAAGATTGAGCCTGAATATAGCAACTATGCGCCCTGGAAGATGCGAATCGGAAACCACAAGTGCTTCACTCTGCAATTTTAATCTCTAAACATAATTTTCACTTTCATCTCAACTCTTGCAGCCACTTGGCCGTATCCCGAGCCCATTTTTCTTCGGCTTCGCCACCAGAGCGTAATGACCACACCGTGCTGAAATGGTTGTGTCCCTCCAAGACATGATATTGGCCCTTGCGGCCAGATGATGTCCACAATTCGACGAACTGCTTCCCAGAGTCTCGGATGTCGGCAGGGTCCATCTCGCTGACCAGGGCCAACATAGACGGCCACTTTGTCTCGACTGGCACGGTCTCGAGAGCTTTCTGAACCAGCAAAAGAGCCGCGTTTTCCTTGACCTTTGCTTCGTCGCCGTAGTAGCCTTTGACGCTGTCCCCGACCTTTGAGTCGATCACGTACTGGGGCCACGTGAATGGGCAGCCGAGCGTGATGCCGACTCGCAGGGTCAGCGTGCCTGTGCCCGAGACGAGCCAATTGATCGTATCCCGAAAATCTGGCCAAAAGAGCCACGTCGTGAGATGGATCCCACCGGCTGAATTACCCATGATGTACAAATCCCTGGGACCTTGAGGCTTGTACCGTTCATCGAGCCATCTGAGGGCCAGGTCGAGATCATCCGCACCCCGTGGAAATCTGGCGCCGTGCGCCGTCAATCTGTAGTTGACGATGGCCACGTCGAAACCCAGCTCTTCGGCGAAGAATGAACCCAGGTTCTTATAGACCAGGTCGCCGGGTATCAGGTCGAAGAGCTTGTCTCCGGACGCAAACCCGCCGCCGTACAAAAACACCAAAAGCGGATTATTCTCCTGTGACGTGCCCTTTGAAGGTGTATACAAGTCCAGATCATGCCGCGCATGCGGGCCGTACTTGAAAGTCTCTCGCGGTGCCGCGTTGATCACAGCGGCTCGCGGCTCGAGTAAGCGGCCGCATATTTCACTCGTGGGCACCACCGCCTCGTAGAGCTCAAGGTGCCGAAGTGCTGCGATCTCGTCCATTTTTTTTCCGGGAGCTTTTGTTCGACCACAGTGCAGGGGAGATTAGGGCAGACAACTTGAGAAACAGGGACCCTGATTTATTCCTTTGTTGCACCAAGACCATGGCGGGGGTGGGAGAGCCAATGTACGACCAACCAATGTATTATTGTCTGCCCGACATCATGCAGGATCTGGTTGCTTTCAGGACTGGGGGGTCTAGATGTTCCAGTCATTTCGGAAATAGAAGGAATCGGCTACATGTCTAATGGTGGAAAAGCAATGCGGTCCATCTCCACAGAGCGAGTTCACTTTACGCCGGCCTTGATATACCCCCGGGGATCATTGACAATCCCATGTCCTTGGTCAAACGAGGGATGAGGTATATATGGTTTCTTCTCATTATTCCTGTATGCAGGAGCCATGACTGCTCAACCACTATACAAGGACTATGTTCCCAACCATCAAAACGGCAAGTGAACTCGGACCTTCCTACATGTCGCCAATGGGTCAGTAACTTACCTCCTGAGTGGTTTCCAGCTTCGTGTGTCGCACGAGGTCTGAAAAGCAGCCACTTGGTTGGAACAAAGACCCTTCTTTCCTACTCCTTCTCTTGATTGGCGCTGACCTTTTCCTCTACAGGATTCGTCGTCGACATGCCCCTTGATCGAGCAACTGGAGATCGATTTCATTGATCTCCCTGTAGGCGCGACGTGGGCAAGGTGACGATGAATGATGGGCTGCGAAGAGCGGTAACATTGTCCCACAAATTGATACCGGCCATGGAAAACTTCATAATGGGGCACCAGAGAATCTCAGGCCATGAAGACCCGTCAACAGACTTGGCTGGAAGAACACAGAGAGTCTGTTACTCCAGCAGTGTCTGTGGACGACAGAGTGCCCTCCCTCTGTCAAAGGCTCAGAGAAGCTCCGGCTCGACGGGGTTGGCCCCATCTCTTAGTTTGCGACTGTTCCCAAAACAATCGGGCATTTGCACTCGGCGACAGAATCGGGTTTAGAGCCCCTCGAATTTGGTGCCAAGTTTGGGGGTCTGGCCCAGCAGGAATTCATTGGGTCGTGTATGTCCAGGTCATCGCAGTTCCTCGGTGCTGCATAATTTGGCGAGTTGATTGGCAGTCTATTGATGCCCAGAGCCTGAAGGTCAATCACAAAGCGGAGTTGCTCTCGGTACCCCGGATTGATGGCTCCCCCTTATGCCTCGAGAACCTCCCCGGCGGGGTAGGATATGAAGTCCGGGGATCCGTGTCGCATACCAGCGTTTGGCGCCCCTGGTTCTTGAAAACCGTCCTCCAATTGTGACCGTCTCCGTGCTTTTTTCTTCTTTGCGTTATTGTTCGGCGAGGAGCATCCCTCGGCATATTAGCGGTCAGAATTCGTTCTTCTGCAGGCTAGGCATGTAGACGCGGACCACATAACGGCCTCGGGTGCAAGGAGGTTTTTGCTAGCGCCAACGAAGAAATCATGGAAACCCAACGATCGCGTCGTGGATGGTAAGGCTCGTACCACCCTTCAGTCCGCGCCTTTATTGATCGATCTGTATAGCACAGAGTGCCGTCTCCGACATTTGAAGTGTAAGCAGGCAAAAGGGCTGGGACATTGACACAACGGCACATCTGATAGTTTCGTCTTGTAGGCGACGAGACACGGCCTGCCTGTCTGAGATGTCAGGTTGCAAGGAGAGTGTGTGAGAGGGGTCCGCGGTTCTCACAATGGCGAGAGCCCAAAGGACGAAAAAGATGTAGCGCTCCCAGCAACCAAGAGACAAGAAAGGAGCGTCGTTGGGTTGAAATTCCTCCTATCTGTGCGGTTGGTTCCGTGGCTCGGAGCTTTTGAGCCCTCGCTGACTCCTTCAGCAGTGACTTTCCTGACAGACAGCACGGTAGAAGACTTGTTGTCTCAACAGGCGTCACCGCAGCAGCAGAATGACGAGCTCTCCATGGGCGGTAGCAAGGACTCGTCGCCCATGCTCGGCGCGGGAGACACGACGAGCCTGTATCAGATAGCATCAAATGCTCCTCCGTCTGACGCCCTTCAATGTCCTGCAGTGGACCTGAGCTTTCCTGAGGAGGAGACCAGCTTGGAGGCCAGCTTGGACTTTATGGGTTTGATCGGGTTCGCGACAAACACGTCGTCTATCAGCAGTGATGCGGGCGTGAGTTGCGACCCCAGACGGAACGAGGTCGATTCCGGCCAGGCTGGCGAGCGATCCTCGTGCCTGATCAAAGATCGCACAGAGGCGCATCTGCTGCGCCATTTCTGTCAGACACTGGCTCCATGGGTAAGAGACCTTTTGGAATGTCTTGGTTGGCCCGACTCCTGGCTGATACTTAGCACCGCCACCCAAAGTTCGATGTCACGGATTCCAACAGACATTTCCAGCTCGAAGTGCCCAAAAGAGCTTCGAACTGCGAGGTGCTCATGAACGCCATCTTTGCCTTGTCTGCCCTCCATCTCAGCCGGGTGTCTTCACTAAGACCCTCGATAGCCGAGGAATACCATTCGCGGTGCAACATCCAATTGATCCCACTCCTCAATGACGAACGCTGCGTGTCCAACGATAATGTGTTGGCAACGGTAGTTATCCTTCGAAAGTACGAGGAGCTGAACGGTACGTTTTGGTCTGGGAAACGATGCCAAAAAGAAAGGAACTGACGGATTCCCCCCCAGTCGTAATCACGGGGCAGGACCATGGCCACCATCTAATGGGGGTTTCGGCCCTTTTCAGTTCTCCCGATTGCCCGCTGGGTGAGGGATTGTCGCAAGCCGCATTCTGGCAATTTGTTCGGCAGGATATTTACATGTCTTTGCCAAAGAGGCAGCCCCCTCGCACCCCCATTTCGATTCAACCGCCCTTGACCAGCGACACGACAAGACCGGATTGCCACTGGGCCAATCGTATGGTATGGGTCACAGTTGCCATCATGACTCTTTGTTTTGGAGACGAACCCCCCGACTCCGTCACCTACGACGACCATGTTCAAAAGGTGAAGGAGTGGTATGAAAACAAGCCGACCTCGTTCACCCCCATGTTCTATCGTGAACGGTCAATAGAGGATGGCCGTTATTTCCCGGAGATTTGGCTGTCTGACCCGTGGCATGGTGAGTGTTTTTGCATACTTACGCCCTTGATGATTGTAAAGGCTCTGACATCCCTTGTGGGAAAACAGCCACCGGATGGCAGTACTATCACCTAGCCAAAATACTGCTCGCGCTTTATAATCCGAGCTTACAGCGCCCAGGCGCAGGCTTGAAATACCAGCGAGCCCATCTTGAGATGGAGGTGAGTGAACCTCGAATCAGTACCCCAATGCACGTAGAGACCCAAGATCTGACCTTGGACACCACCTTCGTCGAACGGATAGCGCGACGTTCTCGAACACGCAAGACTCGCTTGTGGAATCGCATCATCAAACGACTTTGTCACCACGCGATTCACCCTGTGTGCCATTTTGCTTACCTGTAAGTGGTAAAGCTCGGAACATTGGCAGGGGACATACAATTGACCAAGACACTATCTCCAGGCGGTGGGTGGTTCAGAAATCCACCCGAGCAAGAGGCCATCATTGATTTACTTTCTGCCACGGGCAAAGAAAGCGGCTGGCCCACGGAATCTGTCATTGAAGCACTCAAAGAGAGTTGGGCCATGGAATAATGTACGAATGCTTCGATATCCCTACAAATGCATCTTGCAGCGTCGCCGATTTTGCTGTAAAACAACCGGCAGCTGCTTGCTAGCACATATCCTCTTCCTCGACCGTCATCCGCCATCTTGAGTATATAAGCCAGGTAAAATCATTCATCACAGCTATCGACACGACGTTGTTGAACCCTCTCGTCTTGCTACCCACTCCATTCTTACTGCACTACACCGGCGGACATGGGCTCAAGGTCGTCAGGTCTACGCCAAACGGGATACCCAGCATCTCCACCACCTGGCCAGTCGCTTCTTGCTTGGTATTGATTGCATGAGGCGTTGTGTTGCGATGGAATAGTCACCGGGACCCAGTTCCTAGTATCGAAGAGACGGGCGTGGCTTGGTACGGTCTCGGCGAAGGCCCGGGTAATCTCCGTAATTGATGACTTCAGGAGGGCATCCAAATGGTTGCTCAGTGTCATGACAATGACCAGACTGGACGACCCGAGAGAGTAATTGTCTGTCTTGTGCAGAAGAAAAATGGTAGACACTGGATAAGTATGTCACAAGTGTGGATAATGACACCAAGACATCCATCGGGAGATTCTTGTAGCCAGCCACCTTTTGTAATCGCGAAGTATGCGTGTCGATGAAATGGATGTCCAAACCCAAACTGGACAACCCCGGCAAAGTATCTGGAACGTATAGACGTCTTGTTCATTCCGCAATGATTGGCATCGAAAAGTACTCCAGAATCAATATAGATCCCAGAAGGAGAAGACCCTCAGTTGAAAGCAGAATTCTCCCTAGTTCCACGCCGTAAAACGATTGGCCCATCGATGGGACCTCGTCCTGCACAAGAGAGGCCGAAATGCCTGTGGCATCGAGCTCGTCTATGATTTCCTGTCGAGATATCTCCATGGGATTGTACACGACTTCGGCCCTTCCCAATAGAAAATCGACATTTGCACCCTTGATGCCTTGGTGAGGAGCCAACGTCGACTCTATACTAGAGACACAGCTCGAACAGGTCATGCCGTCGATCTTGAAAACTTCAAAGCGGTCAAAAGTCTGCCGTGATTCCTCTTGCCGAATACCTTTTTCTCCACGAGGCGCATCAGGGAGTCAATACGACAAGGTGACCTGGTGCTTTTGCAGAAACATGGAGAGGATAAACGCGCCATAAAGACAGCACGCTGCCATGCTGGCGAAAGCAGAAAGTGTCCGCTCAAGCGCAGCTTCAGTGTTTGTAAGCTATGTGAGCCTTTAAAGAAAGAGCAGGCTGGGCAATATGTGTTGCGGTAGGTACAGAAGGAAACAAAAGCAAAGGGTGTTCATCTGTCTCATCTGCTCCACCTAAAGGAGAGCAGGATAGGCCTGAGGGTATCACATTTCTAGTTAAAAACCAGCCAAGAAAAACTAGACCAAAAATGGTAAGTGTCTTACTGAAAGGGGTAAGCGTCTGAAGATTGCATTTGCCTGCGATCTGTTTCCAGCATTGCTGCAATGAATCCAGCAAATCCAGATAACAAGGTCTATTGACACTGATCGTGACATCTGCAGATAGCCCCATTTAGTGCTGTGCTTCCCATGATGCTACCTAGCGTAAGAGGCGTGGAAGTGAGAAGATTGTCTGGGGAGATTGGAAACAATCAAGAACTTTTGGACAGTGAACAGAGTGCTGGCTCGCAGCGAGTGAACGTGAAAACGGTACAGGAGTTTGTGTGACCCTGCGATGTCCCTCTATACTTCCGTGATAGGGAGGAAAATTCTGTCGGATCTAGTTTGGGCCGCGTCCAGGGGGGTCTGAGAACATGTTCACCATGGTTGTCTACATTGTGTAATAGTGCCAACCCATTCTGCAAGCAGACTTGGAATGCATGGGTGAAACGACGTCGTACAGTAGAACATGCCAACACAAGATCCACCGGTTGGCGAAAGTTTCTCATCCGTCCGTTTCTGCTCCGTTGAAGCACTCAGAGTACCGTGGGACTCGACACGCAGGCGACCTATTCAGCAAAGGGTAGAAGCGTGTCTGCTCGTATCTTTGCGGGGAGGTAAATGGATGACGTCGTCTAGACGACCACGGGAAGATGTGGACGCATTCCATGGCCGATACTGACCCAAGAAGTTTATAACCACACCGTGAACATCCAGACAAGGAACTTCCACTGTTACGATTCGCTCCACCACAGGTGTTACTCCACATCTGGGTTGCGAGTCAATATACCAAGAGCGAGGTGACCAACATTCAAAACGAATGGCTTTGATTCTCCTGGACAAACACGAAAGTGATACTCGGAGCGCAAAGGCACGTAAAGACGGCATTATACTACCGCGTCATTGTATGGCTTGGTACGCCCCTAGGAATCTTTGTAGTCTGTCGTACCCTAGGTTCATCCAAAGGGATCGCATGGAGTAGGTCTAGTGACCCAGCCGCTGATTTGTCCTCGTAAATGCTCAGTCACAACTTCAAGCCGGTCTGTATACATCAAACGAACGGCATCCGTGCGTTTCTCTAGCGTAGTACCTACGCCACTTTAGCGCATAGTGTAATTAGTGACACTTGGAGATAAATTACCTCCTCCAACAACGTAGGTAACTCGCTACATTACTCCATTACCTTGTGGGGTTGGGGTGAGAAAGCATTCGCCGAACAATAATGGATAGCTCCGGAGAACGAGGCCCCCGCCTTTGCACGCCTTGTCTGCGCCTACGGCAAGATTTCCCATGTGGAGTACGTGTAGGGCGCGCACATCCTTCGGCGAAGCCATTTCTCTTGGCTTTTTGGAAGCCCGGCCGTAAATGGCAATATAGGCTAAGTTTTTCCCCGAGCATGCCTCTAATGCGTGATAGTTGCGAGGCTTTACGGTTACGGTTCTTGCTCGGCTCCGCCCGGACCACGACCCGAAAGACCCCCAACCGAAATTACCCACAAGAAGTAAGAGAAGTCGGGGAGACAAAACTTTGTGGTTTCTGCGGAAACTGGGGTCACAGTAGAGTACCTCGTTACTTTTGCCATTGAAGTACTCGGTACTGGTGGAGAGTCTAATCCAATGAGTTATGAATTTCTTTCCTGCTCATGCTAGCAGCACCTAATACGTCGTCACAGGCTACTACTGGGGAGTTCTCGGCCCTTAACATTTCGCCTGACGAGGCTTCAAGGTGATCGTGCAACCTGCCCACCCTCATCATCGTCACGCCCTGTGTTCTTCCCTCGACGACCCGACGACGGACCTTCAGCACATGGGCATCATCTACAGCGGCGACAATGGCTTCGAGGGAAGATGGCTCATCCGCAACGGCTAGTGCCATCCATAGCGCTCATGCCGCGTATGCAATCCAAACCACCACTTCCAGCTGGAACTGGAGGCAGCGGCAGATGTATGGTTTGTGTGAATTTCTGACGACCCAGAGGGAGACTTTGATACAAAGCTTGTGCAAGGGTGAGCACCCGGGTGGAATCATTGTCTGTTCTTCCCGGGCGAGATAAGGCTGACAGTGTGCGGAAAGACGCAGAGGGACGGCAACGACAGTACGAGCAGGAACTCGCGCTGGTCCTCGAGGATATCGCAAGGCACTATGTTTACCTGTCCAAGAGCTCCTTTCCCTTGGAATCTCCGCCCGGTCCACAACGAGGACTGAAACAGCAATTTCTTCCCGTGGGAGTCTCGATGGTCGTGGTGGACAGTGCCAATCCGATTCGTTTCGTTTTCAGCACCCTTGCTACCAACATCGCCGTGGGCAACACGGTCGTCGTTGCCAATGGCTTCTCTCAGAAGTCGACGGCATTCTGGATGACTCTCGGGAGGGAGGCGCCCAACTATCTCGACTCTGCCGCCATTCACATCCTCGAGAGATTTGAGGACGATGTAGCCGCGCTCCGAGATGCCGACTTGATAGCCATTTTCGGTGAGTTTAATCAAAATACCTAGTATTGCTCTCTCTCTCTCTCTCTCTCTCTCTGTGTGTGTGCATTTGCTGAATATATCTGTTTATTCTCTAGCCGACGATTCCGAACCATATCACGAAATACTGAGCCGGCCCGACACCAATGCCCGCATTTTCAAAACGACACCCGGTGCAAGCCTGGTCGTCGTGGACGAAGGGCTCAAATCCCACGACGACATCGCAAAGCAGGTCCTCGACAGCTTCAGCTTCAGAGGCATCAGGCCCGAGGCCGTCAGTGCAGTTTTCCTTCGACAAGACGAGATCGCGCGGTTTCAGCAGAGTTTCAACGACGTAGCCACTGACACCAGGGTGGCCAACGAGAAGTCCACCTCTGCAGAATTAAAGCTGGACGGCTCTGGCCCTTTCTCCCCTGGCGTCTTTCGGATCGACCTTGCCACGTTAGTCCGCTCGGATGCGAGACTACGAGGCCTGCAAGCTGCCCTCGACCAGGGTCGTCGAGCTGGCGTCCTGCTGGTCGTTGTCTACCGGACCATCGACCACGTTATTGATGCCTTGCGCAAACTTCCGACCCACCCGGCGTACCTGGCGTTCCTCGCGCCCTACAGCAAAGCCAACTCGGACTATTTTGAAAAATGGACAACCAGCGACGTCTACTCTCTGGGCTCTGTTATTACTGTCGCCCCTCATTGTTCTTGTAACTTTTCCCCCGATCCCCCGTTGTTGTCTGTTCATGGCCCCAGGCTAATGTGTAGCTTTAACAGCCTCCCAGCCGTCCGACGTCGTGTTCCCACCCGAGCTCTTTACAATATCACGAGTCTCGGTGACGATGCCGAACGCAAAACCACAACCTTTGCTGGAAGAAGTGGTGCAACGAGTCTCCGGCATTGTCAAGAGGCCTGGAGAGGCCCCGAATCAGACCGACGACTTCTTTATCTACATGGCCCGGCAGGCGAGGCGGGTCGGAATGCTGTGTGCGGCGACACTGTGTGCCACTGGAGCATATTTCTTGTACATGAGAAGACTGCCAAAGTGAAAACTCTCGCCTCATCCAAGCTTTTTTTTTTTCTTTCGCAAGGAGAGGGAAAGAGATAACTCTTGCGTCCTAT